GCAGGGGCTGGGCAATGGAGAAGGTTAAGAGATCGGAATGTTGAAAATTATACTAGGCGTGAGCGAGAAGGCTGGGTGTGTATTCCTGAGACGAGGGGTAAGTGGTTTGAAGTGTGTGGGTTTGCAATCAGGATCAAGAGTGTCAACCCAGACACTCACCACAACCCCCCAGCACACACTTGTTTTTCTATTGTGTGGGAGGGGGTTTGTGCGTGATTGGGATGTATTTTGTATGTACGAGGGGTAGGGTCGGCGAGGGCGGTGTGTGCGGGGGGGGGGTCACGCTGCGGAGACGAGCAATACTATTCAGAACATAGGGGTAAGGAAAAAGCAGGGGCAAGTCTGCTTTAGGCTTGCGCAGTGAGTCATGACGAGTACAGATACAGAGGGTGACGTGGAGGTGTTCCTGGGTTCCCGTGGGGAGTCCAGTGCGCAATGTGCTTGACAGGGAGTATAGTATGTGAGGGTTGGTGCTGGCTGTTGACGTGCTGTTGACGTGCTGGCTGATACCCAAACAGGGGATGAGCTGGAGATGTCTCTGCCTTGGTCCTTTCACTATTGGCTGCTACTTCCCGGCGGATGTCAGGTGGTGCAATACCGGCTAAGCAGTGTAATTTCTCCGGTGGTGTAGGGCGCAGACACCCCGTGATAATGCGGCATGTCTCATTAGAGCCACATCCACTGTTTTAGCTGGAGCTGATAAATGGGATCTCACCCCGCTTCCCAGATTTGAACCGCCGATCTTTTGGTCAGTGGTCCTGCTGGCCAAGGGTTTAACCCATTGTGCCACCGGAGGCTCCGTCAGTGTAGTAATAAGGAAGAAGTGTCTGAAGATGGAAAAATGCCAAATTATAGACACAAATTTGATTTTTTTTTCAAAGTAAGTCATAGAAACTCCATTAAGAATGCAAAAGTCTCTAAGTCCATTCAAAGTTGGAATTTTCTTTAAGTATTTAAGTATTTCCTTTGACTTTGGAAAGTCTGAATAAGTTACCTCTTAGATGTAATATGTATCCTGGAAGGTGGGGGAGTACTGTAGATGAAGTGAGAATAAAAGGTCACAAATTATTTCTGAAGCTAAGGCAACTATAATCTTCAACAAGAAAAAAGTTAGAGCTGAAAAATTGGACTGAACTTAAGCATTTTTATGAGCTTTAGAAATGGACTGGAACTGGCAAAAGTAAAATATATATTTTTAAAATCCAACTCTTTGGGATAATCTAACATTAGCTTGTATGCAGATCTGTTGATTAGGCAGCAGAATCTTTAAAATTCTTTTTTTAAAAAAAATAGGAATTGAACACTACAGAAACGTCTTATATTTCCTATTTTGAAACTGAGCCAAAACAACTTCCAACATTGATTTTAAGAAGACCATGATCAAGACTCATGCATTTAAAGCCATGTAGTTTTCTAGAAGAAAACATACACAAAATAATGAGAGTGATTGTTTTGTTAGTCTGTTGCAGCAAAAACCATCAAACTTTTAAAAATAATAACAACAACACTTTATTTATATTCCACCCTTCTCCCCAAGGGGACTCCGAGCGGATTACAACATAAAAACAATCACAGGCAAACATTCAGTGCCTTCTGAAATCACAGACAAAGGCAAAGGCTTTGCCTTTCATTTTTGGTTCTGGAGGCGGTGCTCATCTCTGGCTCTGGGGGAGGTGCTTTTTTCCATTTCCAAACTTAGGAGTCTCCTGGTTGTGTAGCCAGCAAGATTTCTTGGAGTATTTCCTTTTCCCCGTCAAAGTGGTACCTATTTATCTACTCACATTTGCATGTTTTCAAACTGCTAGGTGTGCAGGAGCTAGGGCTAACAGCAAGAGCTTACCCTGTCTCATGAAATTGAACTGCCAACCTTCAAGTCAGCAGTTCAGCAGCACAAGGGTTTAGCTCATTGCACCACTGCGGTCCCACTTTTTGGGAAATGTAGGATGATAAGTTGCATTTGGCATTGGGATTTGTGTGTTGCAACTCACTTCATTGGATACCAGGGTGTAGTTCCATCAAGAATATGTTTCCATTCTGGGGTAAGAGAGTGGAGGAATTAAAATGCAAAAGATGGTAGTACAGTGATGAAATCACCATTGGTTTATCAGTCTTTAAGAAGTGACAAGGGCATCTCCATATAGATAAGACGATTAACTCATATGCAGTGATGAAACGTCTTTGCCCAAAACAGCTTCAGAAAGACAGACTTTCACCTCTTGATGAACTCAATGGGTGGCATATTGAAATCTTAAGGGCCAGAAGGGAATAGAGGCACAAAAATTACATGCAGAAGAATTGTGCAAAATTTGTTATAAAACCAATCAAAAGTATTACTAGATTGTCCCTACAGAATTAATATGTAATCTCACATATATTAATCTCACATGTATCGAGATTAAAAGCTTTTGTCCCTTATTTAAAAATATGGGTTGTGTGTGGCATGATAAACCCAAGAAGTCAGAACTCCTAGATGCTTACAAATGTGATGGTGGTATTCCTTTTTTTAAAAAAATCTATGATATAGGTTTCCGTTGGGTTTGTGTATTACTAGCATTCCTGCAGATTTTTAAGTCAGGAAAAGGCAATTGTACCCTTTCAGTATTTTGGACTATACAAACTTTAATCTTTCACAATTGGCTATGTTGATTGGCTGATGTTCACCTCTGCTGAAGGATAAACATTCAACACAGCATATCAGGAATCTGTCTATCACTGCTACATGGATTTCAAGTAAGAATAGTACTCTTCTATGTGATGACATAATTATCATGACTCCAGTTCCATTGCCATTGTTGTTGGCTCTTCGTGACTTTGTGGACCAGTCCACGCCAGAGCTCCCTGTCGGTCGTCACCACCCCCAGCTCCTTCAAGGTCAATCCAGTCACTTCAAGGATACCATCCATCCCTCTTGCCCTTGGTTGGCCCTTCTTTCTCTTTCCTTCCATTTTCCCCAACATTATTGTCTTCTCTAAGCTTTCCTTTCTTCTCATGATATGGCCAAAGTACTTCATCTTGACCTCTATTCTTCCCTCCAATGAGCAGTCAGGCTTTATTTCTTGAAGTATGGACTGGTTGGATCTTCTCGCTGTCCAAGGCACTCTCAGCACTTTCCTCCAGCACCACAGTTCATAAGCATCTATCTTCCTTCGCTCAGCCTTCCCTATGGTCCAGCTCTCACATCCGTAGGTGACTATGGGGAATACCATTGCTTTAACTATGCAGATCTTTGTTGCCAGTGTGATGTCTCTACTCTTCACTATTTTATCAAGATTGGTCATTGCTCTCCTCCCAAGAAGTAAGCGTCTCCTGATTTCCTGGTTCCATTGCCATTATAGAAGCTTAAAAAGCTGCTTACAGAAATCTATAGTCCACAGATTTTTAGTCTACCTACCTTCATGTTTTGATAACTTGTGGCCAAAGAGAGAGGGAGGGAAAGATCAGTTTGTGTAATGTTTCTCTGATTAACCATCTGAAGTGATCCATCCTCATTTTATAAGCTACTGAGCAGTGAACATTTAAAACACTATATAGTCAGTTCTCTATATTTGTGGGTTTGTCTTTTGCAGGTTTTATTGTTTGTGGAATTGATTAAAATGTTACCTCTAGGAATGTTTTTGATCATCCAGGCGTCCTGTTTCCCTAACACAAGCAAATGTAGAAGGCCAACTATATGTACAGGAGCGAATTTACAGAAATATTGTGCCCCTCCCTCACAATGATATGTTTTCTGACCATTTCCTTTTACTTCTTCCTTTCTGTTTATTTTAAAACTCAGGATTAAAAATAACAACATCTACTTCTCTACAAGAAGCATTCAGCAAGCTTGTTCCTCGTCCTGCTGGGATTATAGATCAGCTGAGTTTTTTGCCAACTAGTGATGAGCCGCTTAAAGTGACAGCAAGTGTATATATTCCAGCACATGGGCGACTAGTGTGTGGCCGTGAAGATGGAAGTATTGTCATTGTACCAGCAACTCAAACTGCGATAGTTCAGCTCTTGCAGGATGAGCACATGCGCAGAAGAGGTGTGTGAACAGTTGTTTTAATTACATAGAAGAGGTTGTGATTGAATTTGATATATGTAGTTGTGTTCTTGCTCATCTGATTTTCAAAGAAGGTATTAGGCTATTTTTATTTGTTCTAACGTAATGGTGTTTACCTGACTGTTTAAAAATTGTAAAACAATCACATGCAGTCACTCTTCCAAAGGTTTGGTGTTATTAAAAATGATTATCCCAGGAATGCCTCATTAAGTCATTTTTAAATTGCACACTCATACCCTAGAAAGCAGAAGATGATTCCTACAAAATTGAAAATACTGAATTTAGCAACTCAGAAGATTCATGACAAGATCTGTCAAGGGGCTGGATCAGTAATTTAAAATTGGGGCAAGGATGAGAGTAGTGTATGGATTGATTGGTTGATGTAATTGTCGTGTGTGTGTGTGTATAAACATATATTGATATGTTTCATTTGTTATGTGCCTGATCTCAATCTTCCTCCAAGGGGTTTAGTGTAGCATATTGGTTTACTCACTATTTTACCTTCACATCAACATTATGCAGTAGGTTTATCTAAGAGAGAATGTTTGGCACAAGATCACTGCAACTCATGGGTTAATATAATCTGAAACAGGAAAACCTTTGTGTCTGTCTAGGCCAGCGTTTCTCAAAAGTCTACTCCTCCAGGTCTTTGGGACTTGAGCTCCTACAATTCCTGGTAAACTGGCTAGGATTTCTGGTAGCCCGAAGTCCAAAACACCTGGGGGAGCAGAGTTTGAGAAACACTGCCGAGGTACAATACTACCTTGGCTTCACGTCTCACATGGTGATAGAAGCAAAGCGCCTTGCACAAATCTGTGCTTTTTCACTGTTGTGGCAAATCTATGAATCTCCTGGTGCTCTTCAGAGCCAGTTGAGTGAGGTCTCTGTTACTAGCTGGCTTACATATGCAAAAAATGTAAATGTGCAAAGAACTTCTATATATTGCACTGGGATGCATTTCAAAATAGTCTAATTTAAACTAATATTTATTTACCCTATTTATACCCCACTTTTCTCAACTCTGTAGGGGGCTCAAGGCAGTTTATATATATAAAATAAGCATATATATAAAACCTTAAAATACTTATTAAAATCACGTTATCCAAAATCATAATCTATGGCAATTCCGAATTGTCATTTCACTATTCCATAATTATCGAATGGTTTACTAACTAAGTGCTTGATCTCACAACTAGATCTTTAGCCTTTTCATGAAGGTCAGGAGGGAGGGGACTCATCTAATTTCATTAGGGAGGCAGTTCCATAGCCAAGAGGCCACCACTGAGAAGGACCTGTTTCTTGTCCCCACCAACCACACCTGCAAAGGAGGCAGGACTGAGAGCATGGCCTCCCCAAACAATCTTATCCTCCTAGAGAGAGATATGTTTGGACAGGTAAACTGGGCCGGAACAAAATGCTGCTGCTTGTTTGTCATCAGGTGCTGGTCTGAATGAGTTATCACACCTGTTCTAGATCATTGCAATGATTGCTTTTAGACTCAGTTCAAAAGGCCAGGTTTGATCATTTAAAATAATGGGAAACACCCTGATTCTCCTGATGTTGCCGAATTGCAGCTCTAATGTTTGCTTATTCTATCTTGGGCTGAATGAAGTCATAGTCCAATCTAGAGAGCCATACATTATTCATTCCTTTTTATTTTAAAAAAGCCCCCAGATCCTTTAGTTTTTCACTGAGTGCCACTTCCTGCTGACTATAAGATAACCTTTTGAAATCCTCAATCTTGGTACTTTCAGAAAGTAAAGCTCATTCTCACCAATGTGAAAAGTGAGAACCATGCAGTGCTGTACCCAGTGCAGTACAGGGGTTTTAAGTTGGATTTATGGGCTAAGATGCATTGATGCCAACTATGTTACTATAACAATATGTTGCATACTAAATAGGGATAAATAATTTCTCAATAAAATTAGATAGCAAGTGAAGAATTGGAGTAAAAGTAGGTTCTTTGAGAAAAGGATAACATCTTTTTAGTTTTGATCTTACTATTTTAATTGTATGCACTTGAAATGTATTTTGGATATGCTCAAATTTCATGCATAAATACATAATTGTCCACAATTTCATTTTTTTTCTAATACTGAACTAAAGAGTTTCCACTCTCATTGTGTGTGCTGTCTTTATGTTCTCTTCTATCTGAATTTTCTAGGTTGGCCACCTCATAGAACTTTGCGGGGCCATCGGAACAAAGTCACCTGTTTGCTGTATCCTCACCAGGTTTCTTCTCGTTATGATCAAAGATACTTGGTCTCCGGTGGTGTAGATTTTTCAGTCATCATCTGGGATATCTTTTCTGGGGAGATGAAGCACATTTTCTGTGTGCATGGTGGAGAAATTACACAACTTTTGGTTCCTCCAGAAAACTGTAGTGTAAGTTGATCAGTGCCTCTCTTACTAATTAGAATGTTGTTGTGTGATGCTGCACGTTTTCTCTAGGATTTACTGTATCAGTATGCTTCAGTTAACAAAGCCTCTGACAAAGGAGCTCCTTTTTACAAAATCTTTTGATGCCCTCCTAGCTCCCCCTTTTCTTTCTTGTCCTCAGTCTAGCTGGAAATTTGGTTAGGAGTATTGGTATTGAAGAATGGCGAAGGAAGGCTGGAGAAAGACTTTTTAAAATACTATTTGTGTCAACTTTTGTATAATTTTTCAATACTTTTTTTTACATTTTCACATGTCTGCCACAACAATGGTTGGGTTTTATTTGTTTAGACTATAGTAAGAATTCAAGCAGTTATCCACTTGCTCAAATGTTTCTAGCCTTTTGTTTTAGATAAGCTGCAAGTTGACTGCAAAGATCTGATAGTTTTGTAACAAAATGAATATCTTCTTTTTCTCTTTTTTAGGCAAGAGTTCAGCACTGTGTTTGCTCTGTCGCCAGTGATCACTCCGTAGGACTTTTGAGTTTGCGAGAGAAGAAGTGCATAATGTTAGCTTCCCGCCACCTATTTCCTATTCAGGTCATAAAGTGGAGGCCATCAGATGACTATCTAGTTGTTGGCTGTTCAGATGGTTCTGTATACGTTTGGCAAATGGATACTGGTAAGCTGAACTGGTTAGGGAGTGACTTAGTTTTATATAGTTTTATATAATGTCTCGTAAAGCAAAGGGCGACAAATACTGCTACTTAATTTAGACTTTTATAAAAAGACTGACACCTTAGCATTCTATTGAAGACATTGTGGGTGGGCTTTTTTTGTTTTGTTTTGTTTTGTTTTGATTTGATTTGTTTTGTTTTGTTTGTTTCAGTGGCCTAGATTTTGTTGACACAGTATAGTTGCTTGAGCCCTACAGGTACCTGATCCCATCCCATCTTGGAATCAGGGTAATTCTTGGTTATTTCTTGAATGGTAGACAGCCAACAAACAGCAGGTGCTGTTCAGAAGAAACTGGAAAGCATCTTTGAGTATTACTTGCCTAAGAAAACCCTGTTTCCATAAGTCCACAAGCCACTTGAGGAAATGCACTTTTGAAGAGTTGCTTAAGAGGTTATAGTTCTTACATATTGTAGTTCATACAGTGGGCTGTTTTGGAAGAGTCCATGAAAAGATACTGAGGAGTTAATTGTACTTCTTTGGGAAGTAATGATACAACAGGATTTACTTGCACATTTTGCAGAATTGTAGTTTTGCAATTGTAGTTTACTATAGTCAATTTTCCTCACAGTTCCTCTCTATCTTCTCAAGGTGCACTTGATCGCTGTGTAATGGGAATAACAGCTGTTGAGATCCTGAATGCTTGTGATGAGGCTGTGCCTGCTGCCGTTGACTCTTTGAGTCATCCTGCTGTCAACTTAAAACAGGCCATGACCCGCCGTAGCCTCGCTGCACTAAAAAATGTGGCCCACCAAAAACTTCAGACTCTTGCCACAAACCTCCTCGCTTCAGATTCATCTGACAAAGTAAGTTTTCCCCCTTTAAACAACCTGTTTAATTCCTTATGGTTTATATTACTTCTTGAAATAACATGCTATTGTGGTATTTTTGTGTAGAAGAAGTACCCCAGGAGGAATGGCAGTGGTTAATATATAGTACACAGATGCATGGTCATGCCCCACCTCCTTGCATTGGATGTAGTTTTGTCCTTCAGTGGAGAGGTTCTCTCCATCCCCTTCAATCCTTCAAAGATTACCTTATTCCTGTGTGGAAGACAGGAAAGGGAGGATGTAAATACACAATTGTGGCAAGGTTAAACCTGCTTTCCCTTATTAGTGAATGTAGTACCTGGCATCAGAAACAGATACTGTATTCTAGATTTTGGACATTTATTTTGTTCCACAGGACTATGTTTGCTTCAAAGCATTCGGACTATTTTGGGTTCTATTTCATTAAAGGGTAAAAAAATATTTTGAAACATAGTGTGCATTTGTGCTCTCATACCAGAAGGGGGTCTAATACAGTCTATTGTACAGTCATAAGACATTTGCCTTCCAAAGTTTTATCTGCTATATTTCTTGCATCCTAAATTGAAATGTAGGTTTAGGACTGCCTTGTTGTCTTAGTAGATTCGATGGTAGGACAGCAGAGGGCATCAGAGATCCACATTTGTTCATATTTTTTGCATAGATTCTATAGCTAGTGCTAATTGAACAGTGCAGTTTTTATTTGCTGCCCCAGAGTCAGTTATATAGTTTTTTGCCCTGTTTATAAATGAGAATGGCAAATGTAAGACTGGGAAGTGGGATTTCTACCAGACTGCGCTGACCTATCATGTTTATAGTATTACATTATTGTTAGAATTTCAGTCTATCCATCATTCTTCCCTAAGATGTCTAGTTGCTTTTGTATTCTGATAATGAAATATGCACACAATTTTCCTCTCTTAAATAAAACATTAAAGTTACAGTAATTTTTAGTGCACTTAAATATTCAGTACTCTATACAGCAATGCAGTATCCACACGGTTCAAGCAGAATGATGTACAGCATGAGCATCCCTTATCCAGAATTTTGAAATCTGAAACACTCTAAAATCCAAAACTATCTGAATGGGTTGTTGATATGGTAATGGATTAGCTTTCTTATGGTTCACTGTACAAATACATGGTTTCATATTATACATGGTTTCATATATTAAAAAAATATAGTGTAGAGAATTACCTTCAGATGATGAGGTGTATATACAACATAAATGAACTTCATGTTTAGACTTTGTTCCCTTCTCCAAGATATCTCACTGTGTAAATGAAAGTATTTGAAAATCTGGGAAAAAATACCGGGCATTTTTAATAAGGGATGTTTAACCTATACTATGTTATAGTATAACAGAAAATTCTTAAGAGAGAAGGCAGACTGCTTGCATCACTCAAGCCTTCTGTTATCTATGTCTAAATCTCTTTTATAGTTCATTTATAGTTCATGGGCTCCCTGGTGGCGCAGTGGGTTAAACCACTGAGCTGCTGAAGTTGCTGACCAAAAGGTTGGCAGTTCAAATCCGGGGAGCGGGGTTAGCTCTCACTGTTAGGCCCAGCTTCTGCCAACCTAGCAGTTCGAAAACATGCAAATGTGAGTAGATCAATAGTTACTGCTTCTGTGGAAAGATAACAGTGCTCCATGCAATCATGCCGGCCACATGACTTTGGAGGTGTCTACAGACAATGCTGGCTCTTCGGCTTAGAAATGGAAATGAGCATCAACCCCCAGAGTCGGACACAAATATATTTAATGTCAGGGATTTTTTTACCCTTACTATAGTTCATTTGCCTTTTATATTATCCCCCTGACTTTAATTAAAGTAGCAGTATATTTTTAAATATCTCACACAATTTTCACATTCATTAGGTTTTTGTTAATTTTGTTTCAGTGTACTACAATTTCAAATTTTTCTCAGTTTTCAAAAGTATATGAGAAATACTACTCTGGCAGTATGAAATATGTAGTTACCCAAAACTTAAAACTTCTCAAAAATCATCACAATAGTCAAGGCTGTTATGTAAATGAAATAAAATGTAAACCTAAAACAGGATCCAAAGCCAATTTCAGTAGCAGCACTGAGGTCAGTTGATGAAAACATCACAACTAAAAGCTTTTTTATTAGACAATGAAAATTGGCAGAGGTTAGTAGGTGGAACACTCAGGAAGTTAACAAGTGGGTTCCTCCAGTGGTTTTGCTTTGTCTTAGCAGACTGTTTCTGTTAATTTTCACCTTCTGATAAGACCATATAAATAAGTCATTTTGGGACTATTAAGGACTGGTTTTAGTGAACCTGGTCTTTTGAATTCTGTGACTGTGGTTAGGATTGGAACATGAGAGGCAGGGCCTAGAGCTCACAAAGCTGTGAAATTTACTAGGGGATACTGGATCAGCCCTTATCTCTCAATCTGAGTTACATCATTGGATTGCTGTGAAACTGCAGAAAGCATAAGGATAGGCTTGTATGCCACCTTGATCACACTGGTGGAAATGCAGAATATGACTGTAAACAATGGATAAAATACTAAATCTGAAATCTAGCCCTAGGGGCAGAACCAGCAAATCTGTTATTGAATGATAATTTTATTTATACCCTAGTCATCAATCAGTTTGGATAGTGACATTTAGTAGTCAGAAATATTTATCTACATTTTTATTTTTAGATAGTAAATATAGAGGTGAAGCATAGTATGCTTTCTTCCTGTGATAGATATAAGGCTTATTTAGAGTGGGATATGAGCTAAATAGCATTCAGTTGAGTTCTAGAGTGAGTGGAAACTCATTTCCACTCGCACATAACTAGACTGTTAATGCTCTCTTAAATGTCTCACCCTTTGTGCTAGATCACACAGAATAGTATAAACTTGAAAGGAGGACGGGAAAAGAAAGCCTTATTCCATAAATGGAACATTGCTTGTGGTAGGGAGGGTCCAAGTTAGAGTTAAAATACATGTATATGGTCTCCATTAATCTCAGAAGTTGAAACTATTTTTAATGCAAAGAGGTTTCTCACATAAAGAAAGAAGAAGTTGTATGGAAAGTCGACTCGAGGCTGTTGCCAGAATCAAGACATATACTTATATTTTGACTTAAGTTGAGTCAACAAAATATGAACAGTCTTTCAATATTCCAATAGCTTCATCATCTTCTTTAAAAGTTATATAAATTGTGTCTGTTTATTACTCTTATTTTCTTAATTGTGATCTGTCAGTCTTCCTTTGCACTGTCTAAAATACTCATTTGATTTTTTTTCTGCTAGTAGTATGGTGCCATTTACATATCTTTTCGGCTGAAGAGATATAAGAACCTCTTTGGCTTTTCTTTTTGTTACTGCATCCTTTTTTCCATCTCTTTGTAATTCAGTTATAGTTTGTGTTTTCAGTAGCTTTTCTTTTACTTTATTGCACCCTTGAACCTTGTAAGGACTGGCTAGATCAGGGCCTGCAGAACATCACATCCTTATGAAGCGTATTAATTAATCTATTTGTCAATCTGTCCTATTGATCACATTGATCAATCATTACTTTTGTCTTGTTGGATTTTGAAAGAACTAAAGCTGTTAACAAAAATCTTGATAGCCGAATGGCACTACTTTTTCTTTGGAATCTATAGGAAAAATAGAAAGAAAAATGTGTCCCCCCCCCCTCTCTCTCTATATATATATATATTTATATATTCTTTCCTCATCCCAACCCCTTTTTTTGTGGGGTGGGGGAAGATCATTGAATTTATAATTAAAATATAGATCGAAGAGAATTGTGTTGTTTAAAGTTCTTCTGAAGCAGGATGGGATTGTACCTCCTTATATTGATTCAACTGATAAAAATAATGGTGACCAAATGCATATACTTATGTGTATCCTGTTCTGTTGGGGGGGAAAGGAATAACTGGTTGGGTAACATGATATATATGTCCCTAAATTTGTGTATAAAATGTTAAAGGGTCAGGAGTGCAGCTTACAGATGTTTCCCATCACTTGTCCATATACAAGTTTCCAGAAGTTCCCCTCATTTCTAGAAGGGAAAAGTGAAATTGACAAGAGGGTTGAGAACTCTATACTGATTGAACTTTCAAAATTGTCAGTTTTACTGCAGCTCATGAAATCTTTCTAATCTTTCCTGTATATAGAGTTGAAATCCAGCCTGTGTTGAGAGACTTAATTGCAAAGGCAATGAAGAGAGAAACTGCCACTAAAAACGTGCCTTCAAGCTCCTTGATAACTTCACACTTACATAGTCTTGATAGGAGGGGAACAGCCTGTCACTTTCACTCACATTTTTCAGGAATGGCCTGAGGACAAAATAGTGTACAGTTGTGGTACAGAGGTTGATGGGTCAGTTCCTAAGGATTTAAAACTCAAATGCAGAAGATGCATTACACATGTTTTCAAAGCTTCACATGCTTCTTCATCAGGCAAAGATGTTAAAAATTGTTACAACCGAATGAAAATTATGAAGGTGTTGGAGTCACAGGACTACTTGCTATCTTAGATGTTAATCTTTTGGCAGTTAAAATGATATTGATGGATTTCAGTGCAGGCTGGGCCCCCTGTGTGGGTAAAGAGACTGTGATTAATATATTTTAGTTGGTCAATAAAGGTATCACTTGTGGATTTTCCTGATTTTCTTTGTGATCAACATATTATACCCTACATATGCTCCTCCATTCTGGAATATAACACAACCCATCTAGCTCTATAAGTCTCTTAGGGAATGCAATGTAGAAGTGGGTAGATTCTAGTTAATTTATTACTTTTGTAGATCTATTTCAAGTTGATTTAAATACAGTTACAATTTTATACAGACATATTTCAATTGCAACATGCATTTTAAAAAATACATAAGAGCATAACTAATGTAGCAGCACATTGGGTATTTGTTCCAAGATGCTGTTCTGCTAAATGGTGAAGCAGAAATCTTGTCTAGATTATAATTCTATACACACAAAGGAATATATCTCACTGAACTCACCTTCTAAATTGATATGACCAAGGTTGTCTTTTTGTAAATCTTTTCCAAACTTTTAAAGTTGTAGATTTTAACTTGGTGAGGTGTACTATCCTCATTTGTGTTAAGAGGGGTGTCCTGTAAGCACCTATATTTATCAACACATGGAAAGTACATTATTGCAGAAAGACAAGGATCTGTTTTTCCTTTCCTTTTGTCTTTTACATATCCATGTGCATTTTACTTGGTTGGGAGAATTTATTAATGGATTGTTTATCCAGGGGATTTAATTTAATTGATTTTTATATGCCTGGATACAGCTGATAGAATTGTTCTTGCATAAAAAACACAGCAGAGTGGACATCTAGTGGATGCATGTCCATAACATTCGAAAACATTTTGGAGGAGATCATTAAATACTCTACTTACTGTTAAAAATACTCACTGAAAAACACACGATACACACAATCTTTGTAGTTTTACCCCCTTTTCTCTATTGAGCATTTAATAATTATCAACAAGATAATTAGTGTACCATCCACGTTTCATGTTTTCCAAATATCATAACTGTTTTAAGTTTCTTATCCAAGACTTATGTGTTAGTTTGTTCTTAAATCCAGACTAGAAAAGTATAAGACCAAGAGATGATTTTTATATTATGTTTGTTGCAGGGAAACTTGCCTAAATATTCTCACAACTCTCTGATGGTCCAGGCTCTGAAGACTAATGTAACAGACCCAGATGTCCATGTACTTTTCTTTGATGTGGAAGCTCTGATTATTCAACTACTAACTGAAGAAGCCTCCAGGCCTAATACAGCCCTTATTTCCCCAGAGAATTTGCAGAAAGCATCTGGCAGCTCTGACAAAGGAAGTTCCTTTTTGGCTGGCAAACGAGCAGCAGTCTTGTTCCAGCAGGTCAAAGAAACAATCAAGGAAAACATAAAAGAACATCTTCTGGATGAGGATGATGATGATGAGGAATCAAAGAGAAGAGAAGATAGCGATCCAGAGTATCGGTCAAGCAAATCTAAACCACTAACTCTCTTAGAATATAACCTAACCATGGACACAGCCAAGTTATTTATGTCATGTCTCCATGCTTGGGGCTTGAACAGTGTTCTAGATGAGCTTTGCAGTGATCGCCTGGGAATGTTGAGACCCCATTGTTGTGTCTCCTTTGGCTTACTTTCAAGAGGAGGTCACATGTCTTTGCTGCTTCCCGGATATAATCAGTTTGCAGGCAAAATGCCCTCTAGTGATGTGGACACAGGGAAGTCTGTTGCTCTCACAGAGGGACATATCAGGGGTACATATGGCATATCACGTGCAGTAACTACTCAGCACCTCCTCTCCATTATCTCCCTGGCAAACACGTTGATGAGTATGACAAATGCAACATTTATTGGTGATCATATGAAGAAAGGACCAGTCAGGTATATCAGAAAAGAAATGTATTTCACTTGCTTCATTGTCTGTTTCTTTTTCTCAGTCTCCACACCAACAATATGCATTCCTCAGTTTTTTTAATCATGACTGTGATTAATTGCATTCTGATGCGTATACAGGACTTGCTTGCTTTTTTTAGTGTGTCCTTCTAACCTTTAGTGTTAGTCCAACTTGAGCTAAAGTGATATCATTCTATGCAATCATGATATCATAAGCTATTATTGGTGGCCAAGTATGATTGCCCTCCAAGTCTGGGGTCCATTTGTGATTGTAGAGACCTATCCTGGATTTGCATGTTTTTCCCAGTAAGGACATCAGATTCCAGGTGGAAGGTGGTCCCGACAAGGTGATGCGCCCCCCTCTTGACACATTTCTCCATTTGTACCTCTTCGAATTCCACAGCACTATTGGTAACAGCTGACCTCCAGGTAGAACACTCTAGGGACAGTGCTTTCCAGTTTTTGTGTCTATGGCACAAGGTTAGCTTTAAGCTCATCTTTAATCTCTTTTGTGGCCACTAATATTCTGTGTTCAGTTCTAGGTTTACAGAATTAGACTTTTAACTCAGAATGTTTTTCAGTAAAATGATTGATTTTAATGACATAGGCCAATATCGGTGAAAATATCGTTAATTTTGTGTGTGTGTCAGGAGCGACTTGAGAAACTGCAAACTCTTGTGAGAGAATTGGTCGTCTGCAAGGACATTGCCCAGGGGATGCCCAGATATTTCACAATCCTGTGGGAGGCTTCTCTCATGTCCCAGTATAGTTAATAAGTTAATAGTTTTTAACTTTTGAGATTTAGTGTGACACTTGATAAATGTGTGTGTGTCTTAGATTTTAAAGACAAAACTAGGAGCCTCTGGAGAACTAAGGTAAGACTCCATATTTTTTGAGAACAAGATACAGAAAGGATACCAAACTACATCATATAGGTCAATCCCAAGGGTAGTTTTTTGGCCTAAAATTATGGATTCTGATATAACCCAGGGATAAATTGCGGCCATTCTGTTAAAATCGGAAAGCACCAATGAGGCCCCAGGAGGCTGGCCAGCCATCCCAATCTGCCTCTACTATTTTTCCAACCAGGCATTCTAAAAGGCCAAAGGCAGCACTGTTACTGAGAAAATAAAGGGCATCAGTGCTTCTTTTAAGTTCTCACAAAAGAAACTAAGCTCTTATCTTTCATCATTCTACTCTTTGTGATATGACTTAAGATGCAGTACTTGCATTGATATGGATGTGGATAAGTTGACCCAGATTATTAGAGCTAATTATGTTGACTAACATTTCTAGACTTATACATGAGTATGTACAGTAGCTTGTGGAAGGTGGGAAACAGAAAATATGCAGAGAATGAAAGAGAATGGAAAGGATGACAAAAGAATTGAAAAGAAGATCAGGGAGTAGAAAGGGTCCTGGTTACTGTGTGAGACTAAAAAGGGTCTGTGCATCAATGTTGTGTGTGGAAGAATGTGTCACATTCTCATCTCAAGTGGCGCAATGCCAATGTTTTAAGTGTATCAACATTTATTACTTGCTCAATCACCATGGGGTGATAGGGCAGGACATAAATAAAGCTTATTGTTATTTATTATTATCCCTAATTCTTTTATTTGTAGACCACCTAGACCAGGGACTCCTGAACTTGCTAAAGTGAAGACTCCTGCTCCAGTTGCTAGTCCAGCAGCTCAAGGGCTGATTAAACAAGGTAATGGTGTGAGATCAGCTGTGAAAATACGAACTCTACAAATAAGTTATATCTTTGCCTTTGAACATAGAAAAAGAAACCTTGTGGTTCAAATTTTCAGTTGAAGCTTTAAAATTGTACAACAAAACGTAAGTTGTGAAACATCTCTAATGATGAAGTTAAGTAGACATTACAAGCTGTGATGGTGGTGATCTGCATTTATCTCAATATGCTTTGCACTTGCTTTGAGGTATCCTATTGCACCTATTGGGCCAGAGCGAAGAGAGGGGAGACCAGGGGACAGTTCCACCTTGTCTCCTGTGCTATTCTAATAATATGTTATAATATAACATATAATATATTGTATATACATATAATATTGTAATGTAATGCAATATAATACCAATAATAATAATATGATACTATAATTATATATTTATATTACATGTAATATTACTAATAATATTACAGTATAATTGATATAGTGCAATATAGCAATATTTAAAACTGATATTGTACTATGTTAATAATATATTGTATGTATATATACCTTGTAAGCCGCTCTGAGTCCCCTTCGGGGTGAGAAGGGCGGCATATAAATGTCGTAAATAAATAAATAAAATAAATAACAACAGATCTGAATATCCAAGCAGTTATAGCTGTCTGCCAAAAGCTGGTGCAGACAAAGTTTTGTTAGGTGAAAAGGCTGATGCATTGCAGCTTAGTTTTCAACAATTCATTATGATGGAGAATGCAGCTGCTGTGGGCCTTGTGGACAGGCCTTGCAAAAGCTCTGACCTTACATTGATAATAATGATTGGTGTCATTACAATACACACTATTTTCATTAGTTTAGAGATGAGAATGCCTGATAGGTTCTTTTAGGTTCTTCATTCATCTTTGATGGGCCTGTTGCCTATAGTATCCATTGGCAATCTGAATATATTCTGCAATAACTTGTCAGTTATTGTTCAGAGAGTGCATAAGCATCTAAAAGTCCCATAGTGTTTGATTTACACAACTTGTCAGCAGTCTTTTGTGCTATTAATTCAATTTTTCTGGAAAGGTAATGTCTTTCCTTATTAATATCCGGGTCTAAAACAGGGGCCACATCTACACTTCCATATAATCCAGGTTAACAAAGCAGAAAATCCACATTATCTGCTTTGAACTAGATTATATGAGTCTACACAATAGATAATTCAATTCAAAGAAGATAACCTGGATTTTATATGGCAGTGTAGAGCGGGCCAGGATCTTGCTGACTTTTTTTTTGTTCTGTGTCCATACTTAATACTATTGTTCTTCATCATCTAGTGTAATATACCCTCACAATTAGATGTTTATCTTCTGTATCAGTAACCTACAAATGGCAATCTTATGAAACCTCTGAAGTATTTCTCCCATGCAGCAGCTCTAAATCTAGAAGAGCAATTATGCTTGGCTTGCTTTTTTGAATTTTCAGCAATTTCCATGCAGTTACCTCCTTGCTAATGCTTCCCACACCTGTACACAAAGCAAAGTTTTCGCAGAAGCCGAGAACCTGTTAAAGATTATGCAATGTAATTGTGACCTGAAATGTGTCTCTGTATATACAGCTGTTTCTAGTGTGCATTTTAGAAAGGTGAAAAGGAAATGGTGCATACAAAGCAACCCTCAATGCAGCAGCAATTCTGTTGCTTTTTGTATACAACAGCTGTATCACCTGATTACAAGATGACTGAACATCAATCCTATTTAATGCTGTCTCCCACTAGCCCTGAAACGAGAAGCATTTAATACTTTTATAAATTCTGCTAACCCATGTCCTAAAGGGCTGCAGGCAACGTAGAACATATTAAGCCCATACAGTTCTTTTGTAATCCATTGGGTACACAGAGAGACACAGATATACTTTTTGCTAAAATTTACTATCTACCGCTTCTTCTTTGCTTGTTGGGGTTTGTTGAGCTGTGGTTTGTACCAAGCAAATCGATAATATTTGACAAAAACATATTTACTTTTTCCATGCAGATAGAAAGGAAAAAGCATATTGTGTTGTCTAGGTATGGCCAATATCACTGTTGAAAGGCGGGGGGATTTCCTGTGATCTCTTCTTGTGACCATTTTGTTTAATGTGCAATAAATCATCAGCATTTCCACATGCTGAACTTCAGTGTATGCCAATCCTAACAGTGGATCACTTAGAAAAGAATGAAACTGGCAATTGAACACATGTAGACTTAAAAATTTGCTGATTTCTCAGATAACACCTGAATTTTCCACAGTGTTTTGTTTGAGTGATTAAAATATTCCCCCTTATTTAATGGTACCTTATCAGCTGAATTTTCTAGTGAATTATAGCATTCAGTCATTTTACTGTCTTGCTTTTGATATACTGTTGCTAAAATAGTTACCGTATATTCTGGTGTATAGGACTACTTTTTAACTCAAGAAAATCTTCTCAAAAGTCAGGGGTCGTCTTATACATGGGGTCATCTTATACGTGGGGTCCTCTTATACGTGGGGGTAGTCTTATATGTGGGAGTAGTTTTATACACGGAAGTCGTCTTATAGAACGGGTGCTGAAACTTCCAATCAGATTGGAGAATCTCTGGTTGCCGCATATGGTGGGGGGAGCTCAAAAATGGCAACGGTCACAAGCTGCAGGCTTCCGGGGCACCCGGGGAATGGAAAAAAGAGATAGAGTGGCTCTGGACCCAGAAAAACACAACTCTTTTACCTGTCTGTCCCGCCTTGGATCCTATTACTGTACCTCCTCCTCTGCCTCTCAGATCTCGCTCCTGAAGACTGCAGTGAAGCAGTGTAGGTGCACATGTGTGAGATCTGAGAGGCAGAGAAGGAGGTACAGTAATAGGAAAATTGCCATATTGAAATCAAATCTGATGCTTTTTAAATTTTTATTTGGTGTGCTTTGTAAGAGGGGTAGTCTTATATGGCAAATATATCCCAAACTCTATATTTTAACTGGAAAAGATGGGGGTTGTATTATACGCCCAGTTGTCTTATATGCCGGAATATATGGTACATGTATATATTGAATAGAACTCAAACCACTGTGGTGTTGTCTAAAGTCCTAGATGCATAGAAACCTTACAAAAATGCCATTTTCATTAAGGAGGGAAACCTCATATCTGAACTCATATTCCCAGAACTATAGATAATTACTTACTTTAAGTCTAAATAAAGAAACTCAGTGTTTATCATAACTGAACTGCTAGCCAACAGGATTTATATACAAAATTGTGACACTTCAATTTTCTCTGAGTGTTATTCCTAAGTATCACATTATAGACCACATTCACATTAAGGGCTTTCTTATCTGTCTTCTATAGCTTGAAATCACCCTTGTGATAGGTTATGTGTTTGTGTGACTTCAAACTTTGTTACTTGTAATGCAGTTAGCACACATTGCAGAGAGGCTGAATATAATCGATTCATGCAGCGTTCATTTTCAGATTGCCACAGAACCCAATACGACTGGCCTACCAAGCCAGCTGTTGTTACTTTCAGTTACACTGATTGATATAAATAATGACAGCTAGAGAGACTGTTCTCTTCCCCCACCCTTATCACAAAAGAGTGAAGCTTAAATATCGAACAGTAAACTTACAATTACACTCTCTGCGTGTGTTTTTAGAAGGCTTATACATTCACTGCTACAAGTCCTTTAACCATTCTGATGTGTCAATTTTTGAGTATTTTTTTTTGTATTTGCATGAAGTCCCTGCCAGCTAGTTTACTAGTTTGCACGTGCCACCACGATGCATTTATGTGGAAATCATAGAAGGAGTAATTTTGATGCAGATGTCTTAGAGTGACAAAAGAAGTTCACTGCATGAAAACCAAACATACCATTCAGGAAACAATGCTTAATCTGTTCTGGAGCCTGCGCCTATTGTCATTCTGCAATGGAATAAAGGAGAGGGATTAATTTGAAGATGCTTCTGCATGACATATGGTAATTCTCGGCAAGAAGGAAGTGTCAGCTAGTGACCTCTAAATCTTAACATTGACCTCTGGTTGTAGGATGGTGTGTGCCATAAGGTCTGCCTGTCCTTTCATATGATAATTTGATTCATGGAGCATTAGAGAAACTATAAAGTTTATGGCTGCCTTTGGACTGCCTTCACATTAAAGTAGAAGAAGATCCCCCACCACAATTCACAAAATGGCTGTCATAAAACTGCAGAAATTTAATTTGCCGAAAACTATTTTGAGCAATTAAATTTTAAGTGGCTTCCTCACTAAAAGAAGTTGAAAATCTGTACTAAATCAACCTTAACGTGGTCCTAAAGGGATTTGTTTTCAAGGTGTTCCGGAGCCTGGCCTTGGAACAATTCTGAAAGGTCAAAATAACAGAAATACTCCTGAATCTACTTAAAGATACACACACAGAACACAAATAAAAGTAAAGAAAATGAAAAAATAAAAAAATTAAATGCATCACATAAAATAAAACAGTATTAAAATGTTCATTCATAACACCTAGATCTCTTTCTTTTATCCCCCCACCCCAACTCTAGAAGTAGCCCATAACAATCAGGTCATAAAAATATATTTGCCTGGTTCTGAAAAGATATGAAAGGGTAAGCTCCATTAAGCTTTGGGAAGAGTATTCTACTAAAACAGGGGTGCCAAAGAAAAGCTCTGTTCCTCAACTATCTCTTGCAGAGGCTCTGTTCAAAGAGATGCGGATCAAAAAAATTGTGATGAGTTGGAATGCTGACCTAATTGAGGCTCTAATTGTGATTTTTAAGAGCAGCCATGTGTAATGCCCGGTGACCTCTGCTTTGTATTAGTATTGATAACTAAGGGACTAAATCAAATATCTAGTCCCATATATCATCCCTGATTTGGCAGGGATAGTCCCAATTTTTGTCATCCTATTTTTTGCGTCAATCTGAGTTCAAAATGTGAAAATAGTTTACTCCCAGAAGAATGGAAACTCCCTGGAGAGGAGAGCAAGGGCACAACCTTGCCTTTTCTGGTAGGCTCGGGCAAAAGCAAACTGCTGCAGCTTGTATGTTTTTTCTCAGTAATACCATAAATTTTGTCATCACGATCCAGCATGTGCTGTTTTTCATATCTGAAATGCTGAAGGGCATGAATTCATTGAATTGAGAGAATGTACCCAATAATTTGGTCACAGATACACTGGTCTTTTACAGTTGGATTTAGAGCAGCTAAACATCCAGTCTTCATCACACAGGAGAAAAAAATCCACTTAAAATCTGGTTTCTGCCGCCTACAGAATTCTGTGGTTTGTAGTTTACTGAGGCTGTTAAAGGCTCCACCCTAAACTGCAAACCCTAGAATTCTGCAGGAGGCAGAAACCAGATTTTAAGTAGATTTTTTTCCCCTCTGTGTGATGAGGCCCATATGAGGCCCATATGTCTAGTCTGCTACTTGGGGCCATCATGTTTTGCCTGACTTGTATTACTAAGGGAGATAAACAAATGTTTCATGATGCAAAGATTTTGTGCAAACCAATATAATAAAGAGGGCATAAAAACATTTCAAAAGTCTGAATCAGCATTGCAGACACAGCTGTGTTGTATCCCATCATACATGCTCAAACATACACTATCATTTCAGTAGCTTTTTTCATTTCAGGAGTGACTTGAGAAACTACAAGTCACTTCTGGTGTGAGAAAATTAGTCATGTGCAAGGACGTTGCCCAGAGAACACCCAGATGTTTTACCATTCTGTGGGAGGCTTCTCCCATGTCTCCCACATGGGAAGCTGAAGCTGACAGATGGGAGCTCACCCCACTCCCTGGATTCGAACCGCCAGTGTTTCGGTCAGAAGTTCAGCCAGCACAAGAGTTTAACCCATTGGGTCACTGGGGGCTCCTTAGCTGATAGATAAACATAGTGGCAAGGAAAAAAGGTCTTCATCATGCCAAATGTTCATTGGAATAAAAGGTATAAAATATGGATAAAAATTGTAACTTCACAAAATCTTATAAATTATATATAGACTATTTAAAACTTTTTAATTAATTCCCCGTCCCACACCAAACTACAAGTTTTTATGCATTCTATTATCAAGGGCAACTTTGCTGTTGTGAAAATAGTAGAGTAGTTGTAGAGGCATCTATGCATTCATAAGTCACATTTTCTAAAGTTTATAATTAGAAGTAGAAGACTTGGCTTGATAAAGCCCTCGTTATGATTATGTTTATTTATGCTGCTCCTTAAAAAGATATTTTCCTCTTCTTTTTCTGACCTAAGAGCTGCTTTTGAAAACAATGAGTTAAAATATATTTAGCTTGTGCAAAACATCTGTATCTGTAGTAATTTTGATTAATTCATTGCTTTTCTATCACCTGTGGTAATCCTGCTAAAAAGGAAGGGGAAACAGAATCTAGTGGTACCCTTAAGACTATGATTTATGATAATATTAGATAAGCAAGCCTTAGATTAGTGGTCTGCAGTGATGCATTCATGAGTTTGGATAGGCTTTGTTTATCTATGGATGACATTTGGATAGGCTTTGTTTATGTGTTTGTTTATTCATACTCTTTCTCGAAAACATTTTATACTGCATACTGTTTCTTTCCTGTCCTTTTTTGTTTTATTACTCTTAGAGTCTGACTTTACACTTGCTTTATTATCTAAACTGTTTATTTGTTATTAATCAGTTTATTTTTCTTATCAAGATTGATTTTGATTTTACCTTCCATTACTTGAAATAGTGTAGTGTTTTTGTAATACTCTTTTCTAGACAGGGTGCAAGTAATAACATTATCTTTCTGTGGTCTATAACTGACTTGTTTTTCTGTCATTGACACACTTCTTGAAAGGTTCTTGAATAGTAATTGTTTCAGTTAATTCAGGAGAATTCTGTTTTATTTTTCCTTCATTCTTTAATAATACTAACTTTTCTTTTTGTTCTGGAAACGTCTGTCTTCATTTTCCTCTTTTATTTCTTCTTTCCTGCTCAAGTTGCTCCTGCTGTTTCTGCTAGCAATGAAGCTGATCACTCTGGCTCTGACCCTGCTCCTCCTTTACATACCTGTTTCTTAGTAAATGAAGGTATTCTCACCTCAGTTTCTATCTACTTGGCCTCTTTATTTCTTTTAACTAACTTGCTCTCTCATTGTTGTTACATGCCTCTCTTAATCTATGCATTCATTCACTATACAATTTGGAGACAAGCTTCACTAAGCAATATTTATTTGCTACTAATGACTAGTTTGAATTCATTTTCTCTTCCTTTGTGGAAGACCTTGTCTTCTCTAAGTGATGACTGTACATCATATAAATAACTAGCTTCTCTGACTGGCAAATACATTTATATTTAATGCACAAAGAATTGCAGTTTGTCAAACTCTTTTCACCTTGGTGCTGATGTGTAATGGGCAATCGGATAACAACTACATGTTTTCAATATCCTAACTCTGTAAAGAAGCTCTGAGCAACTGATAGTCAACCAAGGAAGCATTTTGAAGGACTTAAAATGTTATTTAAAGTTCGAGAATAGTTTTCTTTGTTATAAAAATAGGTTTATGTACGAATAAGGAGAGTATTTTCTGGTAAGTCTTGACAAAACAGTACTTCAACTAGTATAAAGTAAGATAAGATTATGACTTTTAACAATTACAAGGATTAAAATTTGATTGGTAGTCAACAAAACTAAAAATTCAACAGTTAGCTCCTAATGGATCTAAGATGATTCCAAGTAAAGATGTACCAATTTCACTGAACTGTGAATGCTTGTAAACATTTTCATATATTTAATCGATTTCTCACAATTATCTTTGTCAGTGGAAATGGCACCACTTGCAGTATGGATTTTGCTTCCTTGTGTGCTCTGAAATCTACCATGAGCAACTATCAGGAGCAAATGGGAGAAGGCTGCAATAGGAAAGAAAACAAAGGAAAGTCAGCTTTTATGAATGGTGGTCCACTCCTGTAGCATCAGATCGAAGCCTTCAACAATCAAGTAGCCTCCAATTGAGCTTGACTATAGTATTTGGGAAAGTGGCAATTGTAGTTGAACTCATTTGGAAAATATCACATTGGCAAGCCTGTTTGATAGAGTTGCTTTTAATTATTTGTCAATTGTTCACATTTAGAGTGCTGATTAATATAGTCAGTTGTTGATTTCTTATTCCTGCCAAAGCATATGCCACTTCCTGCTAATTATGCTGTTGTGAGAGACAGCCTATGTGTTTTCAGTGCTGAATTGCAGTCATTTTATATCGTTTGTGTTTGTAGTTGTGATAAAAATGATAGAATGGAAAAAAATGAATAGATAAAATAAATTGATATTGGATGGAAGGGCAGGGTTTTCTGGGAGGGTTAAAACATGACATCTGTGTCCAGTTCTGGAAAATGTATGCATTATCAGTGTGTATTCTCTTGCACACGCACACACACATCAGCTTTTTCTCCCTGGTGTGTATATACACTATCCCATGCATACACTATCTGTTCAGATGAAACTCTATTTGGATACTGTGTATTGGATCAAAGAACTGTGAAGGAAAGGAGAACAGCTGCTGTTGAGTTATTGATGACTTTCAATCTTGACTTATTTGGGAACAATAAGCTAGGCCTCCAGAATTGAATGTCACAAAAAGCAGTCCCTAGCTACTGAATTTTCTTTCTGAAACTATTTTAAAAAAATGTTTTTATCTTTAGGGATAGCAAGGTAGTGTATAAATACTACAAAACAACAAAAACAGCAAAAATCGTTCTCATGATAATTTTCAAAAGAAATAGAAGCATTGGTAAATTCAGATTTCTGTATAACAACATTTTGGGACTAGTATCAAAACGATTGCAGTGCTGGACCAGATTCAAAAAGAGGATGTTCTATAGCTTTGCTGCCACAAATGACAAGGCATTCTTCTTTAGTCAGTCTTCAAATAAGCTACTTTGAGAAATGCTTTCCCTGGATATATTAAGTGATAAATGGGCAGGTATAGGATGAAGCAGTCCTCCAGTTATCTGGGTCTCATGCCATATAGAGATGCAAAGGTAAGCACTCCTGTTTTGAATTGCATTCAGAAGCAAGTAAGCAGCTAGTGCAGCTCCTTCCAAATCAGTGTAATATATTTCAGTCAGTAATAGTTTTGGTCATCACATTTTGTACTGCCTTAAGTTTTTGGATTGTGAAAGTAGCCCATCATTAAATACTTTACATCACTCCAGTTTGGAAGTTATCAAACCATGTTGTATTGTGCATAGATAATTCCTATTCAGGTATGGTAATAGATGGCAAACTAGGTGAAATTGATAAACTGTACTTCAAGGCAATGAGGCCATCTGATCCTCAAATGTTCAATAAAGGAGTTCTCCAAACTGTACCCATTTTTTCAAGAATAATGTGGCTCCATTTAAAATTTGCGCAAACTCAGCTTCAGCTAGTTTTTTCCAGCTTATGTGAAGGGAGCAGTAAACAACCTGAATTTATTCACAAGCATCTTACCTTATCATATGTAGCCACATTTTGAAAAATAGCATGCACAGGTTATAATAAAATCTTTTTATAGGTGGAAAAATTACAATTTCTTTAAACATATTAAATTTTTAATAATGATAATAACAGCAACAACAATAAGAGCTTTATTTCTTGTCCACCTCTCCTCATTGCTTGAGGCGGGTTACAGCATTACTAAAATATAAACAAACACATAATCTGTTGTCGAAGGCTTTCATGGCCATAATCACTGGGTTGCTGTGAGTTTTCCGGGTGTATGGCTATGTTCCATAAACATTCTCTCCTAACGTTTCACCCACATCTATGGCAGTCATCCTCAGAGGTTGTGAGATCTGTTCGAAACTAAGCAAGTGAGGTTTATATATTTGTGCAATGTCCAGGGTGGGAAAAAGAACTCTTTTCTACTTGAGGCAAGTGTGAATGTTGCAATTGGCCACCTTGATAAACATGGCCATACAGCCCGGAATACTCACCGCAACCCAAACATATAATCATTTTAAAACACTCAGTGAAATACACCTATTAAAACATACCTCCATAAAATAAGTATCAAAATACACATTTAACACATTGCTATGGTTTTTTTCAATATTCACTCAATCTGCCATGACTTTTTATGAGCTGAACAATGTTTATGTATCTAGAAGGACACCTTTGGATCCAAATTATCACAGTATTCATTTATAGAATTGTAGTTTGATGTAGTTTTCTGTTAACACAGAGTATTAGAGAGAGTAGCACTTTTCTCATGGTTCTTGATACATAGGTCCCTTCTCAGTGGGCTCCAGATTTCTTTTCATCTTAGTAAAGTGTGTTGGGATAAAAAAATAGATTGCAAACATCCAGTTATGAAGTATAATTATTGGAGGAGTAACTTTTCTTTCTATAGTGTTCCAGTATAACCTTATTTTGGTAGATTGGCTTAGCTAGCTGGAAGTTTGCTTTTCCTGAAAGGCTTACTGTAAAAATTATCATATGCACATCTTAAATGAAAAGGAAAAATCTGGAATCCAAGGTGGAAATACAAAGGTAGTGAATAAATGGTTGTGAAATAGTGGTGTTTAATTCCCTCTGTGGTCTTGGTTTTTATATGTTTTGCCTATGTCTTGACAGGATGGAGCCAGCTTGCTGCTATGCATTGTGTTATGCTCCCTGACCTGTTGGGTCTGGATAAATTTAGACCACCTCTCCTTGAAATGTTGGCTCGTAGATGGCAAGATCGATGCTTGGAGGTACTGTTTTTTTATTGAAGGAGGCAATGGGGAGGAAAATGAATGTGTTAGCCAACATGGGAAATATTATTTTAGCATCAGATATATTGTTCCAAGAAAAGTATACTATAATTCTGGTTTAGAAGCTGGATTTATATATGGGTATATGCAATTCAATTTGCAGGTCAGTTTTATAAAACGGAGAGTTAACACTGCAGTATGACAACACTATATTGTAGTAAGTGGGAAACTAGATTTCAGGAAAGAAGGATTAATACAAAAGACATGATGAAGCTTACTGGCCACTGGATGTCATTGTTGTTCCATCGGAACATGCAGAACTGCTGCTAAATGCCCAAAATCTTTCTTTCCATCTGCCTCAGACTAGCATAGCTGGATTAAGACACACACACTTTATTCTTCATGCATCAACAGTTCAATAACTGCTGGAAATTTATTTTAATCCTTTTAAATAGTGTGCTTATTTTTAAAATGATAGAGGGGAATGGAAGAGGATGTATAGAAAGCAGAACACTTCACATCCTTGTGAAGGAAACCCTTGTGTTCCTGTATATAATTATTTCATGTAAAATGTGTGTGTGTATTTATATTAACAGCAGTTTTTTCCTCAACATTTTGTTAACATTTCTGATCTATGTCTTTTATTTGACTAAATTCCTAAGGAGAACAGAGGGAAATTACAAATATTTCATTGACATCTGCATGAATTTGACTCTATCCAAATTTTAGAACATCCCGTTATTCTCGTAAAGAGAAGGGCATAAAGCCAAGAGGTTTCTTCAGCCAGTTTTTGGAGATAGGCTCCTGCATTTTGAATGTGACTCTGCCAGTCCGCAAATGGTGTTGGCTCCTACTTTTTTTGATGAATGACTATCTGGCCTTGACATAACATCTATGCTGTTGCGGCAAAAATAAAATGTTGATTGCACAGGTTTATAAGAAATATATGATGAGTAGTCCTGTGACATTTACAGTAGGCTTTTGAGCTGATTCCTCAGATTAATTGAAAATCTGCTGCTGTGGTTCTGTAGTAGTGGTGAAGTCTATGCACCCATAGTAAGAGGAAGGGGGTGGAAATAAGTCATAGAGCAGTGTTTCTCAACCCTGGGGGCCAGGACCCCTGGGGTGGTTGCAAGGGGGATGTCAGAGGGGTCACCAAAGACCATCAGAAAATACAGTATTTTCTGCTGGTCTTTGGGGTTTTGTGTGCCAAGTTTGGTTCAATTCCATCATTGGTGGAGTTCAGAATGCTCTTTGATTGTAAGGAGACAATAAATCCAAGCAACTGCAACTCCCAAATGACAAAGTAACCCCCCCCCCTCAGCCCCACCATTATTTAGATTTGGATGTATCAGGTATTTGTGCCAAATTTGGTCCAGTAAATGAAAATACATCCTGCATGTCAGATATTTACATTACGATTCATAACAGTAGCACAATTACAGTTATGAAGTACCAACAAAAATAATTTTATGGTTAGGGGATCACCATAAACATGAGGAACGGTATTAAGGGGTCGCGGCATTAGTAAGGTTGAGAACTACTGCCATAGAGTGTTGACTCTTATGCTCTTCTGATGTATGAGTTGAGTCTAAAACATGTTTTGATCATTGAATTGAATGAAAAAGCATCATCGGCTGTTAAAATGTGCTCTAACTTAATCAAGTGTTCACAGCACATAGCCCATAGGCTACATGTAGTTCCCATTTTTATGGCGCCAAGCCAAACAGTTCAAAGCCCTTTAAAACAAGCGTATTTTTTCTTTTGTATTCCGCTGAAATTCAAAGGTGTGATCAATGACTAAAATCTGAGATTCAGCCTGTGAGAGGGAGAAAATCACACGCACCAGCAAAATTGTCAGTCCAAGACCTGAACAGATTACAGCAAATTTTTCACACTCATAAATGAACATCCTGGATTTCTAGAAATGGATTTTTGTCTCAAATACATGTACTGGTTGTACTTCCAGGTGAGAGAAGCCGCCCAGGCCTTGCTGTTAGCAGAACTGAGAAGAATTGAACAAGTAGGGAGGAAGGAAACAATTGACATGTGGGCTCCTTATTTGCCACAATACATGGACAGTGTTATATCACGTAAGTATTTCCTCTTCAATCCCATACCAAATTGGCTTGAAAAGAACACATTTAAGAACAAAAATTGAAATTACTGTGTAAAATGATATATTTTGTAGGAGAAACTTGATTGTATGTGTGTTTGTCTTTTTTTATACACCCATGCTTGGATAAAAAAGATAATTAAAATGTTTAACACGTCCTATTTAGATTATTTAATTGGTTTTCCCACATCTGTATAATGAAATATTAGTTGTATTTCATTCTTAATTTGTTATCAGCTTCCTTAGACTTTGTGTGGGAGAAAGTAAGAAAAATACAAATTAAGCAAGCAAACAAAACCTGTGAGCTATAACACTCCTTGACATCTTTTGAAGTGTTTCACAGGATTCTTTAACTTACTCATCTCCATGAAGCCATGGCAATGGGGATAATTAGTTTATGTTATCCAGATTTTGGAAATGGTATCTGGGAAGACTGAAGAAATCTTCTGTGTTCATTTGGCTTCCAACCTTAACTGTATTTTGAAGAACAGTATTTGGTATAGATTGGGGTGTACAGTGATATTGGACTGCTACTACAAGCATCCTTCGTTGGCTCATTCATCATGCCAAGTAGGTTTGATGGGATTTGCAGTCCAACTGGAGGGCTGCAGTCCGCTTACTTCTGTTATAGACACCCTTCATCTCAGACATAAATAGGGGGAAAGCAGAAAAGTGTTAAAGGTCTAGATGAAGATGATGAAGTGTATTACTGACAACTGTATGTGTATAACAAGTAATTTATCTTGTTCAACATCAAAATTAAAATTCAACATTTTGAATTAATATTGGTGATATTGATCATTCTGATCTATCTTGATCCTGATACATTGTCAGGATGTATGATATTAGGCAAATGGGACTGAGTTGTGCTGAAGGTTGTATTTTCATGTTTCCATTCTGGAGTAAGTTAGATAATTCAGTTTATTTGTTTGTTGGAGGTTTGGAATTTCTTTGTTTTTAATATAACAGACAGCCTTATGACAGTGAGAAATGTTTTACTCTAAGGAATTGAATTTCCTTTTGTTGACAGAGCTTTGTATGGTAAATGCCAATTGATTTTTGGAAAGATACATATAATCTTGTTAAAACTAAATGGGCTATGTAATTTAGATAAGTTATTCTGTGCCATTCCCAGCTGCAAGTTGCAGTAAAATAACCTTAATATTTTTGGCCTTCAGTTTATTAATTAATTTATTATTAGTAGAATTAGTATTATTTAAATATCCTACCCATTTCATTATATTAATATTTAAATATTAATTACAATTTTATGTCCCAAGCTTTAAGAACAACATACAAGAAAAAATAATTCAATGTTTTAAAGCAATTTAAAACTAATAAAAACAGATTGAAAACACATTAAGCTTTTAAAGTGGCTAAAAGGGTTTGAAACCATGTACCTGTCCATTTTGGAATCAATTATTTAGACCCAAAAATTTAAATTAGAACGTTTTATTTATTTTTATTTTACTTTATCCCAGAATGTTGCCCATGTTAGTACTAATTAGGCCTCTACGAAGAGGGCATTTCCCAGTCATAGTGCCACAGCTGAGGAGACTTTCTCCCCCTGGTAGGACATAGAAGAGTTTCCTCAAGTAGTAAGGCACCAGCTGTTCAGGGTTTTGAATGCCATCACAAATACCTTGAATTCAGACTGGAAAAAAAATATTTGCATCTTTAAAACTGGAATTATATGGCATCTTAATGGTATTCTGATCAGAGATCTAGGCCCATTTAGAACTTCAAGGTATCCTCATAGAGAGCAGGATGTCACTAGCTCATGAACTTCTATTTCTGTTCAGGAAAAGCTGTAGCCGACAGACAAGTCGAAACTGATCCCAAGGATTCATCTCTGTGAAGTCCACCTGGGTATCCTCAAAGATGGACCCAGGGACATACCCAAGCTGGGTAGCTGCTTCCTCATGTGGAGAGCAGCCTCTTCCAGATAGTTTGTTTAACCAGTTTTCTACCCAAGAGCTAACAGCTTCCATGTTGTTATTCAGCTTCAATAGACAGGCTATCATTCAGTCCAACAGAGCATCCACATATTGGTCTAGCACTGGTACAGCCCTAGCCAAATCTTGTGACTGGGAGAAACACCCTCATGGCTTGCCCCACTGGCTCCGTGTAGATATTAACCAGCATGAGAAATAAAGTGGACCCTTGTGGCATCCCAAAATTTAATACTCATGGAGTCGAACAGGAATCTCCCTTCCAGATAAGCAAGAAATTACTGTAACACTGCCTCCTATTCCCATCATACAGATACCATGATCAGCATTATCTAAAGCTATTGAGAAATCTAGAAATATGAACACTCCTTCACCTTTACTCTCAAATTATCTAAGGGCTATTTCAGTACTGTATCTTGTCTTTAAACTATACTGAAAGCAGTCTATTTAATCTATTTTTCCATGGATGTCTGAAGTTGTCCAACCACTCAAGTATCTGTGAGGAAACATTAATGCAGCACCATATTATTTTAATTCCTCCGAATCCAAGAATCTTCTCTTTGGGAAAGTATATATTAAATACCTCATTCAGTGAAGCAGGCACATATTCCTCACATAGAGACATTACCATCCCCTGTAACCATGCAATCAATCTCCTTCTGCTATATCTTGTCAGCCAAGATGGATAAGTGTCAAGCTTACATGTGATGGCACAGACCAATTCAAGCATCTAGTCCACAACAACTTAAACTGATACGAAGTAACCTGAGCAGATGGAACACTGAACACTTTCCCAGTCTCTGTGATACCAGTGGGTGTCAAGTTGATAGCAAATATGTGCAGGTTCTCTTTTGAAATGCATAGCAAATTTCTCTCAGCAGAGACATAAGGGTTGCACCCCTGAGTCTCATCTTAACAGATGATTCACCACTTGGAATAACTTTGCTGGGTATATCAGGAATAAAAAGGATGGAACACAGTAAGATGTATTTTGCTAATCTCACTGCCATATAATAGACATAGCAAAATGTTCTCTCTCTTAGTTTCTGACCTCTCCATGGATACCAAAATCTGTAGATGCTTAAGCCCCAGTATATGCAGTGATATAGTAAAATGATGTCTGTTATATAAAATGGCAAAATTAAAATTTTGGTTTTTTGTAATGTTTTCAAGCCATGGATAGTTGAATCATTTCATACAGAATTGCTGGATGTGGAAGACTGACTATACTCACTTTATGATTTTTTTCCACGTGCACTTTATGAGTTTCCCAGTACATTTCATTATTTAACCCAGTCTTTATTGTGTTAATTCCATAACATACTCAGATCTGGTAGTATGCTGGCAATTTTTGGGAGGTGATAACCTACTGTCTCCTTGTACTTGCCTAAACATATTGTTGGGAGGCAACTTCCCTGATTCTGAAAAGAAAAGAGGTTGACCAACATGATTTAATTGGGAGAGTGCTTTTCCTTTGAGCCTAAATACTAAACTAGATCTCATCACACTCTAGATTGGATTGGTAGCAGAACATGTCTACCCCTTACCCTCATGTTCCCCACGCTGTACTTTTGCATTCCCCAAGCAAAACTAATGGTAGTAGTGAACAAAGTTTTCATCCTGTGTTATCCAAGTACATGTATAAAAACATCGAATCTACCAGGAGGCAAGGGAAATACAGGAACCAAGGTAGCTACTGTTTCTGAGATATGTTGTAGTAGTAAACATTGCTTCAATAAATTTGCAGTGTGGTATGTGGATCTCCTGCAGGCTGACAAAAATAACATTAAAAGCAGTTATATGACAAACACCAAGAAAAAAAAGAAAGTGGAAAATATTTGTGATATTTTAAGCAAAATCTTTCTCTACATTACTCTTTTTCAAATAGATGAAACAAACTTTCCTATCAGTAAGGAAACATTTTTCAGATTACGTTGGGGATACTACCAGTATTGCCAGGTGTCGAAGGTGAAAATAAGGGACAGACACAGAATGAAACTGGAATTTGGAACTACAAACATCCAAAGTCCAAGGCAAGGTTTAGGGGGTAGCTGCCCGGCGGTGTCTGTTGGGCAGAGCTCATTCAGGGGGCAGGCTGTGAGTCGGGCTGTGGCTTCTTCTCCGATGGGCCTTTTGAGCCATTTGGGTTGTGCCATTAACACTCTAGGAAGGGAGGGAGAGAGGGGAACGGGGGGTGGGGGAGGCTGGCAGAAATATGGGACAATTGATGTCCAGTAAAATAATGTAAGGGGACGCTGGGCATTTGGGACACTGGACATTTCATTGAAATATAGGACTGTCCCTTAAAATCCGGCACGCCTGGCAACTCCGCCTACAGCCAGTCTGTACAATTAAGTTTCATCGTTTTTGCTTTCTCATAAACCTACACAGTACCATAGTTGTAGTGAATGGAAAGTTAGAGATACAGATGATTGGAGGTGATTGGAGGTAATGGTTTGAACTGTATATCATCTTAGCATCCACCTCATTTTCACAGCTTAAATTCATTACTACTTTCACTACTTGAACAAAGTGCAATGGGCTCCCTGTTGGGTTTCAGCCTGGGTGTGAACCTGAACCTGATTCTCTGATTGTATTTCCTGATGCTACTGAAAATGTATTTCCTGATGCTAATGAAAATGTATTTCCTGATGCTAATGAAAATGTTGATTCTGAGTAGAAGAAACTCCTGCAGGCTTGGAAAGTGAAAGTACACATTCTCATGAGAATGTTTCAGAGCCAAGCAGTGATAGCTCTCCAGAGCAGCTAACACCTGGGACCCTTAATGAGGATAGAAGAGGACATATTTGGCAAAACAGGGGTGAATCGCAGAGTCTGTGAAGCTCAGCCAGATTGAAAGAAAAGGAAACAAGGGCTTCAAAGCCTGGAGGCGTGTCACGAAACAGATTCCTCGGCTTTAAGTGCCTCTCGCCGAGTTGACTCTTTATATCAGGCATCATTTTAGACTGAGGCATTACCTTGGCAGATCTCCCGTTTCCCGTGGCCTTCATCCCAAGAGGCTTCT